CCCCAAAACCCCAAAACCCCAAAACCCCATTCAACTATAGTATTAAAAATGCAGAATATCAATAAATGAAATTATTAAAATTAACTAATATATGGTTGATAATTAGATAATATACTTAAAAAATCAATAAAAACTTAAAAATGTTAAAATACATAGGAGCAGGTTTCACCTTATTTGCAGTTCCTACAAGTTATTATGGCTATTAACGCAGACAGAAGTTTCTCTAAGACCCAATAATGTAGAGAGCACTTTTGAATTTATAAAAGGACAAGCGTGTGATTGATTTTTGTGGTGAAAATATCAAGCCAGGCTGGATTATTTCTAAGAAAGAACAACCTAATGATAACTGGGTCAAGTTCGATTTAACTGTCAAAGGACTTTCAGGCAAGCTTAAGACTACAGTTATCGGAGATTACCTCAAGCATAATGAACTCTAATTGCTAGAATCAGAAAGAGTTTAATACTATTAGGATAAATAACAAGATGAGGCAAAGATGAATGAAAAATTAGTTGAATTAGAGGCAAAAGTGAAAGCAAGTAAAGGCAAAATAACTTCAGAGGAGAGTGCAGCTGAGGAGAAACAGATCTTAGAGTAATTTAAAGCCAAATAGTAGGAATATATTCCAGTTGATTTCGATGCTTACTCAATCCTTGATAAACCCACTTTGGACAACCTACCCAAGATTAAACTTTAAGACAGCATTAAAGAGGAAGAGAAGATATGGAGGATCAGCTCGCTTACTACTTATGTGGATGATGAGACTAAGATATTGATCCTACCATTGCCTGAGTCAAAAAGATCAGTTAAGATTCAGGATACTAAGTATGACTTTAAGATTTATGAGGACTTAATTAAAAAACACCTAGCTAAGGAGGAGGAGCTCTAGGTAAATGAGAAGGTAGTGAGATTTGAAGATAAGACCCAAGAGGAAATATAGAATGACATCAAGAAGAAGAGGCGTACATAGATCCAAATGATGAATAAGATTCGAACCTATCAATTCTTTATTATGGCAGCAGTTGGTTTCCTATATATCTTTGTCTATAGGAGATTTTTAGCTGGCAAGTCAGTGATGAACAGTGTCATCTATCATTAAACAGTGAATTATGTGAAGGCAAGCTCGAAAATTTAGAATGTTTTGGGATAATAACTTCAAGTCATGAACTGCAATGGCAAAATATGGCCTATGAAAAGCAATGTGGACTTTGATTTAATAGTATTTGGAAGCCAGCAAAAAGGAAAAATCAGAGTGCAAACTGACTATGATAAAAGTAATTAGAAATGGAAGATTAACTAGATTGATCTTATCACCAGACAAGGCACCACATAAATTGTTTGATTTAATTTGCTATAATAAACTATCAAATTTAAAAATAAGTTGATTGTGGTTTTGGGGTTTTGGGGTTTTGGGGTTTTGGGG